AGGTTCTAGCTCAGGCACCTGGGCCTGGCCCAAGTGGGCAGGTGGCCTCCAGAGCCAGACCCAGTGCCTCACCTGTAGTCCCCACTCTTGCTAGCTGTGTGACCTCCAGCATCTGATTAGCTGCCTTGCCTCTATTTTCTCATCTGTAAAATGGGGCAAGTAACAGTATCTACCTCACTGGACTATAGTGAACATGAACGGAGATTATGAATGTAAAGGGTTCAGCACAGTGCCTGGCACAGACAAACACTGAAATAGTTTGTATTTATATACGTGTAAGTATATGCCCCTGTATGCACATGTATATGTACATGCATATACAGTGCCTGGCACATGGTGGTGCTAAACAACGCAAATCCTTGCTCTGTCCCTTCTCATCTTGATCCAGCTCAGCGCAGTGAGTCTACAGAGGCTCCTGCTAACTGGCTCAGGCTCTGCCTTCCAGAGGTTCTGGAGGGACAGCAACTGCTGTACCCTGGTGCCAGGGAACACCATTGTGCCCACAGTAGCTTCTCAATAAGTATTTGTTTAGTTATTTACGAACGAATGCATGACTGCAAGGCAAGTGTGTCTCTCAAATGCTGGCCCCTCCATTCCAGCCCCCCTCCCAGGGCTTAGCTCTGCAAACGCCCTCATTTTGACCTAGGCAACGATTCTCCAACTTCCAGGAGATTCTAATACACTAGCTATGAGGTTGAGCTCAAGAGTCTGCTTTTCAAACAGGGATCCCCCAAAGGCCAAGCTTGGAGAAACATTTCTCTAATGCTCGCTTCCCCTCGGGGTGTCCTGGAGCGGGGCTGAGGTAGCTCCGCGGCTGGCGCCTGGGCTGGGGCGGGTCCGCACTCACGAGAAGGCCGCTTTGCCTTCCTCCATGTCCTTGCCCTTGGCTCCGGGCCCCGCCTTTCCGCACAGGTTCACGGCGATGCACATGAGCAGACCGCACTTGTTCAGAAAGTAGCAGGTGATGTCCACGACCACCAGGAGCAGGACGAAGATGACGATGAGGATGCCCACGATGGCCCCGGTGCTCAGGCCTGCCGTGGGGCTGCCGTTGGCTTGAGTGGGAGGGAGAAAGAGGGGCGGCTGGTGGTTAACACACTGAGATGCAGACCCTGGGAGCAATGGCCAG